CATTGCCCTGGGTTTTATATGTAATGTCAGCGCAAGGAGCAGGGAACTGTAGGTAACCCTCCCCTGCCGCTCTACTTTGCGTGTATTTCTCCTTCAGATCAGGTCCTCCCTCCGCACCATGCGGCGTCGCGAAAACTCGGTTGGGAGAGCCTCGCCCACGTAAAAACTGCGCCCACTTCCGTTGTGTGAAGAAAGGTACACAGGAAGGGGAACCAAGTGGTTGTAAGGCCAGAGACTGCACAGAAAGAGAGCAAACTATGTACATCAAACGATATAAATGTGCTGCAAAACCCTTTATCACTCCAGATCATTTTAATGAATAAATATTTAAATAAAAGAAAGATAGAGAAACTAAATATGGCTATCGGCTCGGCAGTGCTATTCGGATTCCTTTGTGGAAGTGACTGGTGAAGGTACCAATACTCTAGAGATCGCTGAATTCATCCTATAAACTGTGCACCAACCACTGTCTTCATCGCTATCTGAAAGTTCATCGTTGGTCTCGCTCTTGCTTCGAATCGATGAGGATGGACGATCGGTGGATAGTCCTGGGGGCTCCGAGCGCGAGGGTGACACTCGCGGTGCTGGTGGAGAAGGAGGAACGACAAGATCCGAACCTGAGCTGATCTGAAAGGGTGAAAAATCAGAGAGGAATCCATATCCTTGCTTACGAAGAGCTTTCAATGAAAGACCTTCAACGGCGGCTCCGATTTGGCGAATTTCCGCGGAAGTGTCTCCAGACGGACCTCATGCATTGGAGGAGGTGGTGATGGCGGATCTCGCTGAAATTCTAGCTCTGAGATTCCCAGGATTTTGAGGCGCTCAGAAGGCCGACTGCGATGCCTGATAGGCGGGGCTGATTTGGAGACGTCATTGGTGGAAGGGCGTTGGGTAACAGCCAACAAAGCGGTCCGACCACGCCCCCAACGCGGTTGGGGGTGTGGTCAGACCGCTCCCCGACACTCCTCGACCAGTAACGTCGTAAATTAGCTCCGCCTCCCAGCCATCACAGACCTGCCTTTAATCAAACTGTTTACCTTCTCTTGGTTCCCATCTTTCCTATTAGTCATGGGGGTGCGTATCGTGGTAGCGTCCGAGATCATGAATCCGTTGGATACGGGTGGTGACCCGAACAGATTCAGTGTTCCTTGTGATGTCAGTGAGGTGGGAAATGACTTTTTGTGAGGCGGACGGATCAATCGATATGGTTTCCTGAGAAATATTTTGAGCTATTACTATCCTAGCAAATATTAGGGATTTACATAATTTACCGATTTTATGGAATTTCGCACCTGCCAGTCTCGTAGTCGACCACTTCGCCAGCCATAGCTGTCAGCGATTGGCTGGAAACTTGAACGAACTGTGGGACCTCGAGATGCCGGATCGATGTACTGAAATCGGTGGTTTAAAGGCACGTTCCACATTTGCTTGTATGTGAATAATTACACCTTATAATGAATGTATTCATGGTAATTGGTCAAACAGTAATGGATGGAGCAAACAAAACTGCTAATACTTCTTAAAAACACACTGCACGCCGATCTTGTGGGCGGAGATCGATGCAGTGTGATGCGACGCGTCGCGCCCTCCTCATTGATCGACCCCTCCTCTTGACTATATGAAGAAGATGGACCGACCAATCAGGATAGTGCAATGCATTGCATCACAATGCATCGGTCCCCGCCCAAAATCAGGCCGATCGGGGCTCTCAGGGCCAATGGCCTTTGAGAGTTCTTAGCCGTTTCGCTTGCTATCTCCCTTACTGGCGTACAATTACTACAACCACTTTCTTTGGGGGCGATAACCCGCATTCGGGCAGCTGCGAGTGAGCCTCTGATTCTTTTCAAGGGGCAAAGTCTCTGACGCTCTTACCATGTAGGTGTTTTCGCGTCTGGGTGGAGTTTTGTTAGAAGGTGTGGGAGGAGGCGAGTCAATGAACTGTGCCGTAGTGTATTCTTGATGCCAAGCGGAGCCGTCGAATAGTGATGAGATAGTCTGGAAGATAGGGATTCATTATAAAATGCAAAATAAGTACCTATAATGATTACAATTCTAAGTATAATTCTGCTAAATGAATAAGTTTATTGTAAAAAAAAGGTCAGGAGATACCATTGAAGTCACTGCACGGAACTAGATGGTCGCGCGCGCGTTTATGATAACTCGTCCCCCAATTCGATGAGCCACATTCTGCTGGGGAGATAAATCGCACGGCCACAATCGCGATGGTTGCGTAGTGCATGGTGGACCGGGTATGTGTCACAAGTACGCACCGCAGGTCGCGCGCGACAGAAATGCGCCATTTAGTGCAAGCCGTCCAAATCAGTAATTCTGCGATTGTAGCAACACGTTCGAATTGGTACGCTTAAGAGGTGAGCGAATGTTGTGAATGAGCATCGCAATGAGATGACTTGACCTTGGCCTACCTCTAGGCTTACCCCAACCTAACCCTACCCAAACCCCAACTTGAATTCGATTTACTCTTGATCCATACCGAATTTCTAATCCGGCAACTATGAAAGTGGTCCGAAATGAGTGCCAGCATGAACAACCTGTTTCCTGTGTCATTCTGAGAATGCTTAATCATTAGCAACTCTTCTGATATTTGACTGGCCTAAAAATAGCCGCGACTTTTTCTTCGCATGTGATGCGTATTCCACACCCATCCCTCCTGACCTCTATCCCTATATTTCAGCTTTCGGAACGGGTTGCATCAATTTAAGGGGAAACTGGGTTCTACATGCTCAAATCAAACAGAACGTCAACCTTAGGCCGATGTCAGACTTTGCGAATCGCGCGATTCGCTAGCGTCTGCGGTCGCGTCGCGGCCAGTGAATCACTCAATTGGCTGGTACCGCAACGCGACCGCGGACGCTAGCGAATCGCGCGAATCGCTAGTAGCGAATCGCGCGATTCGCAAAGTCTGACATCGGCCTAGCAGCCTACCCTTGCCGCTTTGTCTGATCTTCACTGTAGCAATGACGGCTCCGATCAACACGGCACAAATAGGTGCGTTGACCAGAGTCCACGCCACGTACTCGCTTCCTATGGGTACATGACTTCCGAAGAACAATGGAAGCTCGTGCTTGATCGCATGGGTGATCATGAGAACCTGAAAAGAACTGATACTTTTATGGAATCTGTTCATTTTGATTTAGCGATTTGAAAATTTAGAAGCATTTTCATGGTCCATCTGATTAAGGGGGAGAGGCATTCAGTGCGATTTCGTTCGCTCTGTAGTAATCCTAATTTTTGCACGGAGCAAGTCTAGCGTGTCTGAAAGTAGCTACGAAAGTAACAGCGATATGGACCATGCATGGCCCAAGTACGACCTGCTGATAGCAGCTTTCAGCTAGACATCTCTACTCGGGTTTGTAGCTGAATAGATTCAAGATTTTCAAGCCATTCCCATCTTTTCGGGAGCGGCGCTGAAAAAGTTGTGACTGTGGCGTTCTCAAACGAAACTGATTATTTCGGCATCAAACCCAGTGCTAGCTTGGTATAGTAATTATAACTATTACTTCTGTCTGTTGTTTGCTCCGTTCCCCCCTCGTCTCAGGATTGAACTCACCGAGAAGATGAAGCCTGGCTTCTTTCAAATAGCCTACTCACCACAAGGAAGCTTGGACATGTAACGGCCCAAGACAATCGGATAAATGCTCCACATGGTCCGAATAACTCGAGCAGCTTTTCTTGTAGACGTAAGTGTGCCCATTTGGCTTTGCTCCTCATTGGAACGCGTAGCATTGATGAAACATCCGACAAGAATTTATTAAGTCCTTAAAAAGGCTAGAAAACCAAGTAAGCATGGACCTCTCAGCCCAGACTTACCAAATATAAATAACAAATGGAAATCAGTACCAGAAATGATAAAATTAATGTTGGTAGCTTAGCAATAAGGTTGTCCATTGAATGAAACAGGAAGAAACCACCCTAAATTTTTTGTTCACTTCTCGTATAACTTCGTATATAGAAGTGTAAAAAATGGAATTCATTCGTAGATTTTGCTATTTAGCGTCGTGTGTAGTTCTGCTTCATTTTGAGAGGAAAGTCCCTTTTACAACTGAAATACAGGTGCTGATGTAAATGGGTGGATGGGGCATTTGGTGGCCCCCATTTTCTGAAAGGCTTCGACCTTTCTCAGTGACAGGGGCAGCATTCATGGCGCTCGCTCTCGAATTCTGGGAAAGTTGAATGGTGCGGGGCGGTATTCTAGTACTAGGTAGAAAATAATGGTCGTAACAACTGCGCTAAATGGGCACGGATAAGCAGGACACAGGTGGCGTTGACTGGCTCTCCTCCCCCCCCCCCGAACCCTCCTCCACCGCAGCTCGGCTCGTGAGGAAGCGTCCCTGCGAAATTCGCTAGCGCTACGGCCGTGTTTTAAGGAAAATAACACTTAAAAAAAGCCAAAAGATGAAAGTATTTCAAAAAATGTTGACTCACACTAGTGCAAATAGGAATTTCGACTAGAAATCCTAAACAACAGATGACAGCAATAAGACGTGAATTTAAGCGACGATTTCCTCGAGTCAAGCACATTCATCACAGACGATGCGAGCATCTCCACCCTGAAAACGTCATGTAATTCTTCTTCCGGAGCCAGTAATCATAGGCGGTTTCCGTCTAACGATCTGAGGCGATGCGTTATTTATCGCGGATCCTTCTGTGAAGCAGCTTGTAGGAGCTCAGTTCCACACGATTTCCGAGGGGATAATCCCGCCTACAAATTGTTCATGTTCTGGAGGTAGCCCACCAGTGAGAGCGTGGTTGAAGTGGCTTTCATCCACACTTTTAGCGCGAGCTTAGCTTTCAAGGAACCGAGTGGTTCATTTTTTGCTGTATTCAGTACTGGACAACAAATTACCACATGTACATCTAATTGGGCCAAATACCCGTAACTAGGTATCTGTAGAATGTGCTCTTAACACCTCAACGACGTGGTACCACAGAGTATCACGCCTTGCAGGACATGGGACGGTGTGGTACCCTGTGGTGCCACATCCCTATTACTCATTTTTCCCGCATGCGGGATTTCTTTCCAGATTATTCATATTTATTCTATAAATCATCTCTACGGGGTGATCAATACTACAAGGTTTGCAGATGTTCTTTAGCTTTTCACCGTGCTCGCGAAATTGTGCCGCTTCACGGAGCCGAAAAAGGAAAGGGGCGTTGTAATCAAGTGTTGGATAGTGAATTCGCACACTGAATGAACAGGGTTTTCAAATGTCGTGTACCCGCTGTTGGTGAGGCGGAGTGCGCAATAGTATTAATAATAGTACCCCCCCCCCCTCAGACCTTCAGCTTGTCTACAGTCGCGATGATACGGAATCATGTCTGCTTACCATATGAATTCAGCGTCTACACCTGTGAAAACGATTGTAGCAAACAGAATGCTCATCCATAAGGGACCCCATCGCATCAATTTTGTCATACTGGGGATCACCGTGAAGACCATATAGAACGGATCATGACCTGGAAATTCGAAACTGCGCTTCGAACATTCTAGAACATTGAATTGTGGGTATGACCTACTTGTGAGGGTAGAGATCTCTTTACCAGATGATATTGATAGAAGTCCCAAAAATGAGAACAAAACCATACCAACCAGTACTGATGTGAGGACATTCCTAAAATAGTGTGTGTTTTCTCAAGACTTAACAAAAAATTACCAAAGTAAAAACTAAAATCAATTTTTCTAAAAAGGCGAAATAACTGACTGACCGTAGTCTTAAAATTAATTCACGAGGAGAAAAATTCTGGGGAAATAAGAAGTAAATATCTTTTTCTTGCGGGTACCCGACAGGAGGCCCGTCTGCGCGGCAAGAAGGCAGAGTTGCGGACGGAAGTTCGCTGCGGCTGACTGTAATTTCGCGCCCGAATTGAAGACCAAATAGGCTGTGGCAGAGTACATCTTAAATTGCGCGGCAGTGCTGCGAGCTCGTCACGCTAATCTACCTTCTTGCTTCGCGACGGGATCCTGTCCGGGTAACCCTTTTTTACGCCATTCTTCCGGTTTCATCATTGTGTTTACATGTTTTGTGCGCGTGCGGGTGCAGGGGAGCCAATATACTGGTGAAGTCTGTCTTGTTGTGGGGGCGGAGGTGGTGGGGGGCAAGTTTGTTTCGGAGAGGATTTTTCATTTGGTTAGAGGAGCGCAGGTTTGATTTGGAACGTTGTTCACTTGTTTCTGTCTTGGTAGCCTCGGGTTATCCAAATTATGAGATACGCGGGAGGATAGGGGGTTAAGATAGGGTGCTTTAAATATGAACGGAAAGTAGTTAAATGTACTAAAAATATAATTGCGTAAAATAATTTTGTTCACATTGTAACTAGAAGTGCAGCATCACGGTATACGTTATTCCGAAAGCGACTGTAAGCAGCTATGGAGAACAGTGCACCAGTGCCAACACCCATTTCGAACAAGACCTGTTCGGCAGCCGCTGCCCACATCTGTAGTGAGTTATTAGGAGGGCCTTATTCGAGGTGCGAGGTAATAGAAATATTATAATATTTTGTATGTCTCACATCCAGTGATGAAATACTGCCAAATGCCGATGAGAACAAAAACGTCAGGCCAACGCTGGCTCCCGGCAGTGAAAGACCTCGTACGAGGAGAATAAAAAGCTGAAACAATGGTTATTGATAAATCCATTCACTGTCATGAGTAATTTCGTTTATTTACCGGTGTTGGTCTTAACTTTTTAGAGGGCGGAAGTGGTGTAGTGACAAGTGGCGCGCTCACCACGCGAGCGGTCCGGGATCAAATCCTGGGTCGTGAGTCGCCCGGGCCAACCAAGCCTTCCATCCCTCCGGGGTCGGTTAATTGGTACCAGACTTGTCTGGGAGGATAAAAACACTGACTTGTACATCGGCTGGCCCCCGCAAGTCATTGTATAGGCCACATCGCATTCAAATGCCACTGCGAATGTACAAATGGAAGTAGAATGCGTGCCGCATCCCAAAAGGGATTGATCAACGGCAAATGCTTTATCCTTTATCCTTTAAGTTTGAAGTGTCATAGGGATATAGACTGGTCTTATTCTGAAATGGGGTTTTTTCATTTGCAGCATATCAATTGTTAGCAGTGAGGTTAGCATCACGTTGCACCAATTTCGAAAATTTTACGACTCTCCCTCCCTTCTAGAGGGCCTCGATACGACCTCCCTCAGGTCAACCCTTCACGACCCCCTCCACCACCATCGAGACTCAGGAGGCTCCACCAATAACGACCACCACCTTCCTCACCCTCACCATCATGGCTGATTTTATAGTATTGTGAAATTCTCGAGACCAGTCCACGAAGCCAACTCCGCCCACTTTTATCCGGAATTGCCGTCGAGCGGAGGGGGGGGGAGGTGGGCGGAACGCAAATTGTTAGCGCATGATCTACGGAAAACCAGCACGCCTAAGCCGTCGGCCTATTCACGAAAAATAATCCCTCCGTTGACGAATGTAACATTAGACGTGCTTCAGCGTTGGCGGAAATACGCCTCCCCCTTTATCGATACAATACGAGCCCCTCCACCCGCGGTGGACTCTTTTCAACGGAACGATTGACCTTGGTGCAGCTTTGGCTACAATGCAGGGTGACATAATAGTCGAGGAATCTGTCCAGATAGTGTATCGACGGTGAAACGGGGGGGGGGCACGCGCAAGCAAGAGAGCTGAACAGCGTGGCTGAGAGTGATTATGCGCGCGGGAATCTTGGTACAGGACAGGGCCCGCTCGCGCGACAAGGAGAGTTGTAGCAGCGACGTCAACAGCGGTAGATGTGCAAGTGTAGGGGTACATCGCACAATCAGGATAAACTGGGGAGGCGAATCACTATAGTGCGCGCTGCGATTCTTCCGCTCTACTTTGCTCCTTGTTGTCACGCAAAAAAGTGCGTTAGGGGCTCCTGGATTTGCGCATGCGCGACGAGGCTCTCTTCTCTTCGAAAGCTCAACGAAAGTGTATAGCACAAGATTCGGCGCACTTGCTTGACCGGGTACGTTCAAGGAAGAAACGCTCCACAAAAAATAGGGCTAAACGTACCATCAAATAGGGTATAGTCGCAGTTATACGAGTTGCCCATGCCATCCATGTAGTACTGCGGCACACACCAGCAAACACCAAGAGCCATGCTGCCGTGAAGGGCAAGCACGATATGGCGTTGAGGCAGAGTGAGAATGAGCTCGGTATAGCTGGTTAGTGAGAGAATATCAAGGCTGCAAGGAGTCGTATCATGTGCCATTAACATTACAAGGTTGGGTTGGAATGAGGATCGACCTTCGCGTTAGACCGCTCTTTCAAAAAAATTATCACCATTCCCCCCTCCCATCACCACCATCAGCATTGGAGAGGGAGAGCGGATATGGCCGAAGAAAGCTAAATTTTGTCTTGTTCACTGCTTCTTTTCTAAAATCCGTCAAAATCCTCAAGGAACCTAACAAGACGCCCCCTCCCACAACCACGACCTCTTCAACCTCCCAAGTACGACCCACTCCCGAAAATTGCGAATGAGGCTTCTTATTCTTCTGACTAGGTGAGGCGGACGGTTCACCATGGCTGGAATAGCATTCTAGTGAACTACATAAGCTCTTTCGAGGGCATTCGAACAAACAAGAGCCTTCACTTTACTTTGACGACTGCGCCTATCCTGGAAATCACGTCCATTTAACGATAGCCGTGGTAAGGCGGATGGTCTTGCGATCAATGATAAGATAAGAACCCAGTATTCCAGAATTAAAACTTAAAATTACATAGGGAATACTCACTGGAAGAATATCTCAGCCGATGTCAGTGTCTTGTTTATCAAAGGACCGAAATCGACGGCCGCATCGTCATCAGTTAGATCTGAAATCGGGTTAAATATGTACTTCGGAGATTAGTCATGTCCAAAGTTCGACAGTTTCGATCCAAGTGTTCTGATCAAGATCGTTACAGGTGCTGGAAAGCACGCTGCCGTAGCAAAGGTGGGCAGCGGAGTTCACGTATGGAACAGTAGGCCCTGTGTGACTAGGCCCAAAGCAAAAACCCTAGCAGAAGTCCTATCGAAGAATGTATTCAGTGGGTGGGATAGGGTAGCCCACGAGTAGCACAGATGTGCCGTTGTCGCAGCTCGAAAGTG